AAATCAGTTCTAAGTGAGAAGATGTTATCCACCCCAACTTCTTCACTTATCCTGATTTGATAAATGGCATCTCTGGCTTTAGTTCTCAATGTTATGTTGGTGTTATCTTGTACTGGTGTCAAGATTAGGATTTTTGCAACATCCAATCTAGATTTCTTGATAGTGCTATTGTCAAGGGAGACAAATCTACCAAATATGCATGCCACTTTCTCACAAAAACTACTTTTCCATATGTGTAATGGGACCCCTTGGCATCTAATCCAGGTAAATCTTTCTACAACAACCTCAGATGGGGACCAAGGATGAATTTCTGTGAACCATTGAGCTAGCCAGTTGCGTCCCTCGTCCACCAGGTATTTGAGATCGTTAGGATCTTCACTTGAGAGTAACACTACGTTACCACCCATTGGAGTAACCTTTGCTGCAAAGTACCCTTAGAGAGCTTATGATTTCCGGACATTTTGCCTTGCCGACGAAGCTTCTCTCCAACCACTCTTCATCTTCCTTATCTACTTGTACTTCTAATCCATGCCCAATCTGCTGTTCTGTGTTCATAGCTTTCTTTGATTGCCACACCTAACTGGGAATACTCTAATTGTTCATCTTCCCCTTATCTTGCACACCTGAATCTCCCTCAATACATCAGCATAGGATTTTACACTCCTTACCTCTTTACTAATCTCTGCCTCATTTATTTCCTTTCTCTTAAGCTTAGTCTCCTCCCTAGAAAAGATTGCAATGTTGGCTTTGATGTATTGATCTCCCACAAAGATTTGGTTCAGCTTTATCTCCAATTCTCTTGTGCTCTTCACGTCCAAGAAGCGTGCAAAACAGAACCTGCGCCTCCATTTGTCACGCTTCCTTGCTACGTAGATCTGGATCACTTTGCCACATCTGATGAATGCCTTCCACACCTCTCCTATTTGCCAGTCCTTAGGGAAGTTAGTGAAAAAGAATGAAGTGGATTGTTCCAAAATGCCTTTGCCATATCCATGCGTTGAAGCTCCTTGTCCTCTGCGCCTGTCTCCCACTATCTTTTCGATCTCTTGGATGCTACCTCTCAGTTGGTGGAAATGTCTAGGTTGGTTTGGGTTTGGGTTTCGCTCTCTCACCAGGTGGGGTTGATGGTTGCCTTTGGCTGCTGAAGCCACCAGCGGTAAAGGTTGATAGTTTCTCACTCTGGGATTTCTCTCTCTCATTCTCACTCTACAGTGTTATACATCTGTTTAGATCTCTTTGTATATCTTTCAAAGTTTTGTTTCTAATTAACTGATTATGTATACCACCTACCAAGCTACTTAATTTCATTTTAAAAAAATATATTACAAGGGGAATCTACACAATTGTTGGGTTAGGGTCCATCTCAAACCCCACTTTTGGTGACCAATCAGCCTATGGTTTGTTAAAGGAGTGAAGGCCCTTTGACATGGAAATGGAGCAAAGCATTGGTAGAGTTTATCAATGGTCCTAATGCCATGAGTGGCCATTATTTGGAAAACCACTCAACTTTGTCTTCAATCATGACAAGGACCCTTACCTTGCCAAATTTACAAATTAAACGCAACACGCGACAATTAAATTGACAACAACAGATGCTAAACTACTTTTAATCGAAAAAAAACAAGAAAACACGTCTTTTCAAAGTCCCTACGTACTGTAATTAAGGGCAACACATTCTTTAATGATCTTCTTCTTGATGGGTAGGGTAGATGTCAATATTAAACGCTATTGTTTATGTAAATAACAAATAGAGAATTTGGGCTAAACCTAAAAGCAAGAAGAGAGCAGGTATATATGACTATTGATTAACGGACAAAAAATAGTGAACAACTTCACTATTCACCCTTCCTGCCCTCTAACTGTATGACATAATACCTGCAACCTAAAGTTGTCTAAACCCTTATTTAAATGAATCTTAAGATCTTTAATTTAAACAATTAATATAATTTTCTTTGAAAAAGCAAAGATATAAGATTTGTAGAATCTGATTAGGTTAAGAAGCTAGAAGTTTTCTTCGTGTTGAACGTGACGAAGAGGAGCATGCCTTATGATCTCAAACAAGTTGAATTAGCAAGATCTTCCACACCCCCCCCCCCCCCCC